TCTTCTTGATGGCCAATAATTGGGAAGACTTGGTGAATCCATCATAATTACCCAAATGGCATCATATCCTCAGCGTGTCCTAGGCAATCTTGTCATGAAATCTATTATGATGTGTTCTCACTTTCACTTCGGAATTGGTAATGGCTGAAGTAGTCCGCCTGGGCGTTGATGCTCTATCTTGATTTACTGACATACCAAATACTTGAAAACAAAGTCGGTCATCTCTCTTTTCATCCCGTTCCACCAAAATCGGGGTCGTATACTTTGATACATCTTAATGCTTTTAATATGCACGACAAACTTTGAGCTATGGGCCTCGATCATGATGTATCTTTTTAGCTCACTATCATATAGAACACACACCATATCTTGAAATATAAGCAACCCATTGGTAGAGACTCGAAATTCTGAATTTACTTATTGTTCTGCATATTTCTTGAGGGTTGCTATGGTGGAATCGACATATTGGACTTCCTTTGTTCTCTGAATCAACTCAAGTTGAACAGTCAGGTGGGCCAAACATGTAACTCTCTTCAGGTCCTGAAGTCGTATTTATTGTGCGGTCCTTATTGCTATGCATTTTGAAACCATTAAGTGAGCTAATATACCTGTACTTTTTTTGCTGAGTGCGTCAGCTACCACGTTGCCCTTACCTGGGTGATATAAGATATTGTAATCGTAGTTCTTATGGAGTTCTATCCATTTTCTCTGACGCATGTTGAGATCATTTTGAGTGAATATGTGTTTCAAGCTTTTATGGTCGATATAGATCTGAAAGGTCTCCCCATACAAGTAATGACAACAAGTTTTCAACGTGTGGATAATCGTGACAAGTTATAAGTCATAGGTGGGGTAACTTTTCTCATAATTCTTCAACTGTCTGGACCCATAGACTATGACCTTCTTATGCTGTATCAGAACACAACCTAACCCAGGTAAAAGACATCACTATAAACTTTATATCCCCCTATCCCGCTCGGGTGCAGTAGTCAACCACTTTTTTAGGTCTAAAAAACTCATTTCACAGTTCTCGTTCCACTTAAACTTGATGTTCTTTTTTGTGAGCCGAGTCAAATGAGCAGGTAGGTTAGAAAATTCTTTCACGAAC